ATTTGTCGTTGTGTTTTCTGACTTGTTAATTTGTTTTCTGAATTGTGATTTGTTTTGCACTTCTCTGCCACCGTACTAGACCCAGATTCACACAGTTTCCCTAAGTTCTTACACAGAGCAGGCTTTCACACAGAGTCCTGGAGCTCCACCCTCTCCAAAGACTTTCGGAGATTCTCCAAAACCGAGTTCTACCTCACAGGCCTACAGTCTCCAAGATGTGGATCTCCCTGTCCCTGATCTCAATCCTCTTCACTGTCCATTTCACCGTGTGTGACACTCGAAGCAATGGGATATTTGAGCCATACGATCTGCTTTTTGATAATGCGGTGGAGGCGTATTATAAGCAGGACTGGCTGGCTGTGATCCTGAACATGGAAAGAGCTTTGCGGAATAAAGCAGCGCTGCGTAAAATCCAGACGCACTGCCGCTTATCCTGCGCGAATCACACCGCTTTCGGGGACCCTTTCTCAGGTGTGGGTGTCCCGATCCCAGGAACCGGGGCCGTGGAGGATTTAGCGTTTTTCCAGAGGATTCTCAAACGGGCCGATTGTGTGAATGCATGTGAAAGCGAGAAACTGGGACCACCGACACTTCATAAAGTTAGTGAGGCTATAGAGCTGGAGTTCAAGAAAAGGACGCCTTACAATTACCTGCAAGTGGCTTACTTTAAGGTAAAAAAGAGGCTTGCAAAATGCACGAAAAACTTGTTATAAAAACGCATTAAAAAAAGTAAACAGAAATGGGGACAAACCAGTGCATCTCATTAGAAGAATGCTAGTTAGAAGAAGCTTTTTGTAAACAACGAATATCTTATCAAATGCATTCTGTCAGTGCATAAATGTGCATCAGATGCATCCGAGCAGATGTGCATTTTGTACACCCCCCCCCCCCCCCCAACTCACATCACTGTGCCACGTCTTTAGGTGGAGACTTGCAGAGATTTAGATGCTACCAGAAATGCTATGAAGGGCTCTAAAATACCACAGCCTTTTAAAATGGTGGTTTAAATGAAATATACAGTCGGGTGCATCAACCTCAGACCACCAGGCCTAATGAAAAAAGGCTTAATTTCATTTTGTATTAAAAAATCATACTGTATCATATTATCAGCCTAATTTGAATGAGCTGTTGAACAGCAAAGTCATCATGAATTTCAACAGCACTACTTTAATGACAGCACCATTATATATTATGTAATATATAAATAAATAAAATATATATTTAAAAAAGTCTCTTATGCTGGCCAAGGCATTTATTTGATCGAAAATACAGTAAAGTTTAGCTATACTGTAGTAACAGTTTTGTCTCTGAAGCATAACTTGGAAAGCATGAGTGTTTTCTAACCAATATCTGAATATTTTTGGTTCTCTTTGTGCTTACAGATAAACAAGCTTGACAAGGCAGTGGCAGCAGCAAATACATTTTTCATGGCAAACCCCGACCACACAGAGATGAAACAGAATTTAGAGTACTACGGGATGATGGCTGGGGTGCAAGAGACAGATTTCAAGGACCTGGAGGAGAGACCGCACATGGTACGAGCAATGTTTATTAATCTGAATATCCCTAGATAGATAGACAGACAGACAGACAGATAGACAGATAGATAGATAGATAGATAGATTTTTTTATACAATCTTACTGCCTTATAAAATGTTTATAGAATGCTGAAATATAATTGCTGATTTTCAGGCTGAATTTTTAGAGGGCAAGATTCATTACAGTGCAGAACATTTTGCCCCAGCCATCGAGCACTTTGAGGCCGCTGTCGAAGAATATTTCACCGCTTATGAAGAATGCAGAGTTCTCTGCGAGGGATCGTTCAATTATGACGGTTACAACTACATGGAGTACAACGCCGATCTCTTCCAGTCTATGACAGGCATGTGGTATTCCGATGCTTTTGATTTTGACTTAACAACAGCGGATTCTCTTTAATCTCTTAGTTTAATTTGATTTCATTTTTAAATCTTGTGGCGTTTGATGTCTCATTTGAATTCTCTTTTTCTTGTTAGACTACATGTTTCATAAATATGGATTTTCTGATATATATATTTGCTTTAATCACAGATCATTACCTTCATGCTCTGAACTGCAAACAGAACTGCGCTGTGGATCTGGCATCCACCGCTGGAAGAGAGAAGCCTTTTGAAGATTTCCTCCCATCGCATTTTAACTACCTTCAGTTCTCATATTATAATAGTACGATTTACTCTTCATCGGCAGAATCATATTCAGTACCAGATTTCAGTGTTGTTATTGTTAACTAAAACCAAAACCAATATTGTTTTATGTCTATATAGTTTTTCGGTAACAATTCTCACTATTAACTAGTTGCTTATTAGCATGCATATTACTAGCGTATTGGCAGTTTATTAGTGCTTATAAAGCACATATTCTGCATGACCATATTCTACATCCCTAATCCTACCCAGTACCTAAATTTAACAACCTTACTAACTATTAATGAGCAGCAAATTAGAAGTTTATTGAGGCAAAAGTCATAGTTAATGGTTTGTTAATAGCAAGAATTGGACCTTAAAATAAAGTGCGACCTGTTTTTCCTTTTATTACAATTTTAGCTTGAAAAATTAGAAATTTGGCTTGGAAACTAGCTTAAATAAAATAAGTTAAAAAATGTTTTTAAATATTATTTCAGTTAACATTTATTTCATTATAAATAATGACAACTTTTTTAATGGTTTTCGTTTTAGTTAACTATAATATATGGAAGCCCATTTCCGCCATGTAAGAAAAAAAATTAATGCCTTAAAAAGTCAAAATTATGACATACTTAAGTTATAATTACGAGATAAAAAGTGGAAATTATGACTTACTAAATCGAAATTATGAGATAAAAAGTCATAATTACGAGATAAAAAGTCGAAATTATGACTTACTAAATCGAAATTATGAGATAAAAAGTCATAATTACGAGATAAAAAGTCGAAATTATGATTTACTAAGTTGAAATTATGAGATAAAAAGTCATAATTATGAGATAAAAAGTCAATTATGATTTACTAAATCGAAATTATGAGATAAAAAGTCGAAATTATGACTTAAGTCATAATTATGACTTAAAAAGTCGAAATTATGACTTTACAAGATTGTGACTTGTATAGTCATAATTTCAACTTTTTAAAGTCACAATTTCGACTTTTTTAAAATTGTAATTTCGATTTAAGTCATAATTTCGACTTTTTATCTCAAGTCATAATTTTGACTTTTTATCTCATAATTTTGACTTTTTGAGTCCTAATTTCAACTTTTTAAGTCATAATTTCGATTTTTTTCAAGTTGTAATTTCGATTTAAGCCATAATTTCGATTTAGTAAATCAAAATTTTGACTTTTTATCTCGCAATTATGACTTTTTGAGTCCTAATTTCAACTTTTTAAGTCATAATTTCGATTTTTTCAAGTTGTAATTTCGATTTAAGCCATAATTTCGATTTAGTAAATCAAAATTTTGACTTTTTATCTCGTAATTATGACTTAAGTATGTCATAATTTTGACTTTTTAAGGCATGAATTTTTTTCTTACGTGGCGGAAATGGGCTTCCATAATAATAACTGGTTTCAGTAACTAAAATAATTCTGTAATCAAATAACATTTTAGATAAAAAAGCATTAACTTAAAAGCTTAAACCTTTTATTAGAAAAAATGAAATTAGAAATCTTGACTTTGCAACTAACTAAAATAAGCCGAAGTACTAAAAGTAAAGCATTAATAACACTGAAAAATATAAAAAAAATAAGTATAAAAAGTTCATTCAAAATATTAATAATTACACTAGTTGTATATAAATAATGTTAAAATAACACTGCCAGATTTGGCATTAATCATTAATGCATTGTATGCGAGTATATATACCCTTACTGATTGCATAGTAGTTTGATACATTGGAATGTTGCTAATAAAGTTAGATTTTTGTGCATTGCAGAATGTTTTATTTACATCTGAGTTCATTTTTAAAACTTTAATCTATTTCTCTCCCAGGTGAGAAATACGAGCAGGCCATTGAGTGTGCTAAAACATACCTACTCTTCCACCCTGAGGATGCAGTCATGGCTCAGAACCTAGCATACTACTCCGCTGTTCTGGGAGAAGACAAATCCATTAACATAACAGCCAGAGAGGTGCCGTCTGCACATGCCACTGATGCACAAGCATGCTTTTGATCTTCAGCACATAGAGTAATATCAGTTATTAACAACTTCAGATTAATTTTGAACAAAACATCTTTTTTTTTTTTGTCTTGTCGCAGGTTGTTATGCAGCATATTAAGAGGTCTTTGCTGGAAAAAGAGCTTCTTTACTTTGGCTATGAGATGTTTGGTAAAACTTTTGTTGATCCAGTAAGTGTGCGTCCAGTGCTGTGCTTCTCATATTTGTGATCAATTACCATTTATAATAAAATCTTTACCTAATTCTGTTGTAGGACACATGGACCCCTGAGGACATCATGCCCAAGAAACTAAGAGACAAACAAAAGTAAGTATACCTTTGTTGTTGCATCTGATATTTTAACATTGAAGTTCAACTGACCTGACATTGGGTGGGCAGGGCAGACAAAGAAACAGCCGCGAGGATTACAGAGGAGATCAGTAACCTGATGAAGGAGATCGAGACGCTTGTGGAAGTAAAGAGTAAAGAATCATCAGACCTGGCCATGTTTGTGAAAGACGGTAAGATTTAAATTAGAATTCAACATATATGTAGGGATAGACAAGTCACATGACTTGGTCATCCAATTGGTGTTTTTCAGATATCAATCCAGCCTCTACTCCAGAAACTGCCAACAAACGTCTGTTTGATGACATAGCAATAACCTTGACATCCTCAGCCCTGAACGGTTCACAGAGGGTCGTCCTGGATGGCGTAACCACATCCGATGAGTGTCAGGAACTTCATCGCCTCTCTAGTGTATGTTTCTCATTTCATTCTATTTCCCAAAAGAGTGAACAAAAAGGTATTTTCTGCAGTCAACTAAAGATTTCTCTCTTTTATGACTTGAATCTCGCAGGCAGAAGCTATTCAAGGTGGTTTTAAAGCAACTCTCTCCCCTCATTCAGTGAGTGAGATGTTTCAGGATATTACGCTTCTCAAAGCCCTGCAGGTGAGACCTACTTTACCAAAGGGTTTTTAAAATCCTCTTGAATTCAATGAATTCATGAAACTAATATTTGCACCATGTTCTAACCAGTTAAAGCAACATGCAACACTTTGTCAGTCGTTTAATTTGTTTTTGTTGGGCTTGGTAGCTACACGACTGTTCATATTCCTTTTATGCTCACCAAGGCTGAATTTATTTGATCAAAAATACAGTAAAAACTGTAATATTGTCAAATATTTTTACAGTTTAAAATAGCTGTTTTATATTAGAATACATTTTAAAATGTAATTTATTCCTGTGATCAAAGCTGAATTTTCTGTATCATTACTTCAGGCTTCAGTGTCACATGATCCTTCAGAAATCATTCTAATATGCTGATTTGCTGCTCAAGAAACATTTCGTATTATTACCAACGTTGAAAGCAGTTGTGCTGCTTAATATTTTTGTGGAAACTGTGATACTTTTTTTCAGGATTCTTTGATGAATAGAAAGTTCAAAAGATCAGCATTTATTTGAAATTGAAATCTGTTGTAACGTCTTTTCTGTCACTTTAAATTAACTGAATGTGTCATTGCTGAATAAAAGTATTAATTACTTTTTTTTTTTTAAATCTTACTGACCCCAAACCTCTGAACAGCAGTATGTGTTTGGAAAAAAAAAAAGAAGCCAAACAAACACTTAAAAATAAAGGTTCTTTATTGGCATCTGTGGTTCCATGAAGAATATTTAACATCCATGGAGTCTTTCTGTTCTGCATAAGATTCTTTATAGTCAAAAAAGGTCCTTTAAATTTTGTTAATGTTCTTCACACTTAGAAAAAAAAGTTTGGTTTTTTTTAGAACTGTTCACTGAAAGTTTCTTTGGGTAACCAAAATTGTTCTTCTATGGCATTGCTGTGAAAACAACCTTTTGGAACCTTTATTTTTTAAAATTAATAAGAAAAAAATGATTTATGCTTGCTTGAGGTATTAGGCTAATTTAGATTTTGAAGACTTTGTATTGCACATACAAAAGTGATACTCTTTGTTCTTTGACTTTCTTACAGGTACATTGTATAATTCATCTGTTTAATTTTTTTCTCGTATCTTGTCCAGGAGGGTCTGGTTCCCTTGATGAGTGCACGATTGTTTTCTGATCTCAGTGAGAAGATTCGTAAGGTTCTGGAATCCTACTTTGGTCTGGAATCACCCCTATATATCTCCAGCTCAAACCTGATCTGCCGATCTGCCATCGGTAAACTGACTTTTCCGTCAGTCCGTATTATTTTTGCATCTTGAACACAGACCTATTTAGTTCTTAAGCAAGCATGTGTTGGTCTCTTTCATACCAGAGAAACAGGAAGAGCGCACAGACTGTCTGCTTATCTCAGAGCTCAACAGCTGTATCAAAGAGGTGTCAGCATACAGCGATCAAGGCTACAGGTTTGCTGCTTGAGGAACCAGTGAAGCATCATGGTTATTAAGTTTATAGTGTTTTCACTAATGCATTCTGTTTTGCTTTGTAGTGCCATTTTGTACCTCAATGACGACTTTGAAGGGGGAGATTTTATCTTCACTGAATCGGATGCCAAAAGCGTCTCTGTAAGATTTGTAAATGTTTCACATTATTTTTATTCAAACTAGTGAGCTGTGTAGAGGAGTAACTAAGTAAAATCAGTGACGCTATTTTCATGACTTGGAATCTTTATCTGTCATTGGGAAGTCTGATTCATTTTAGCAAATCAGTTTGTTCAAACAGTTCATTTCAATTAATCAATTAAACTAATTCAATTTCTAACTAAATAAATACTGTTGTTTATCACTGTGTTTTTGTTTCCTGTATGTAGAGTCAACTTTAATTAATCTAGTGTAAATTAACTGCAGTGTAGTTTGAAAAACTAGTTTCAAAGTAGCTTCATTTTAGACTTGGTCTGTGTCCATGTGGCAGCATGTTCTACTAATTGTGTTGTTAAAATGTGTTGTTGTGGCATGGATTTTCTAAAATGGATATCATTTCACTCTACTGTCTCTTCAGGCAGTGGTGAAGCCTCAGTGTGGTAGAGTCGTGGGATTCAGAGCTGGACCGGAGAACCTTCATGGAGTGACCGCAGTAACCAAAGGCCAGAGGTGTGCTGTAGTGCTTCGGTTCACTCTGGATCCTCATCACAATGAGAAGGCAAGTATGACTTTCAGTGCTGTTCTGTGAATGGTAAAATAAAGCGATAAAATAAGAATTACTGTAGATTTGAACTGGAAAACTAAAACTTTCTTGGGGTGTGTTGCAGTGTTGTTGTTGTTAAAGGGTTAGTTCACCCAAAAATGAAAATTAGCCCACAAATTACTCACCCTCAAGTCCTCCTAGGTGTATATGATTTTCTTCTTTCAGAAGAATCCAGTCCATACGCCTGGAGCTGCTTCCATGTAGGACTGTTGGCGCAAGCTACATATACAGTCAGAAGAAAGTCATATACACCTAGGATGACTTGAGGGTGAGTAAAGTAACTCAAACTATTAATTGAAATAAAGCTGAAAAGAAATTAAATATAAAACAAATATAAATATAATAAATATAAAACAAACTTAAACTTTAAATCTTAAATGAAAATTAGAAATGTGGCCTTTGTAACTGAAATAGAATAAGTTGAAGTACAAATATATTAAAACTAAATGAATAATACAAGCTAAATAGAAATATTAAAAACTAATAAAAATGATAAAAAAGCACATAACAAATTACTAAATCTCAAAACTAAAATTAATTCCAAATATAAAAAAATACTATTTGATTAGATTAGATTAGATTAAACTTTATTGTCATTGTGCAGAATACAAGTACAGAGCCAATGAAATGCTGTTAGCATCTAACCAGAAGTGTAAATCGCAATATGTATATAAATATAATGTAATATACAGAAATGTACCGTATGTATACACAATAAGATGTTTATGGACTGCAACGTTTGAGGTACAGAAGCAGAGACCAGAGGCCTGTTTCATAAAACAAGTTTACTAAATAAGCCAGGTTTATTTCAGTTAGTCTGACGTATTGTCAGTTGATTTGGTTCAAAATAAATCAGACTAACTGAAATAAGCCTGGCTTATTTGGTAAACTTGTTTTATGAAACAGGCCCCAGCTGTACAAGTAGTTGTAAATACAAGGTGCAAATGAAGAGGTATAAACACAGTAGATGCATTATACAGAATAAGTATAGAAATGCTAAATATTTATATATGACCACATATGTATGGTATACAATGCAAATGGCATTATGAGTAGAAATACAAAGAAATGTGCAAAAACATGAAGCATAAATTATAAAAAATTATTAAGCATAAACAAATTAGTGCTGTCAAATGATTAATCGCATCCAAAATAAAAGTTTTTGTTTACATAATATATGTGTGTGTACTGTGTATATTTATTTTTTATATATAAATACACACGCATGTATATATTTCAGAAAAAATTGTATGTTTGTATATTAAATATATTTATATATAATATATAAATTACATGAATATAAGTATATACTAGTGCTGTCAAATGATTAATCGCATCCAAAATAAAAGTTTTAGTTTACATAATATATCTATGTGTACTGTTGATTTATTATGTATATATAAATACACACATTCAGTATATATTTGGAAAATATTTACATGTATATACATTTATATATTTATATTATTATATTTTATATTATATATAAATATATTTAATGTTTAATGTTAACATGTTTAATATTTAACATGTTTTTCTGAAATATATACCTGCATGTGTTTGTATTTATACAGTATATACATAATAAATATACACACATATATTATGTAAACAAAAACTTTTATTTTGGATGCGATTAATCGTTTGACAGCACTAATAATAATATAAACATTGTAAACATGCAGTGGGGGTAGGTTATTGTCCAGCGTTTGTAGTGAATGTCTTTGATGGGGGGTAGCTGAACATTAGTGATGTGTTGGGCAGTTTTCACCACCCGCTGGAGGGCTTTCTGATCTGAGACAGTGCAGTTGCTGTACCACACTGTGATGCGGTTTGTTAGGATGCTCTCAATAGTGCAGGGGTAAAAGTTCAATGTGAGCAGACAGGTGAGCTTTCCTTATAGTCCTAAGGAAATATAGGTGCTGTTATGCCTTTTTGATGAGAGTGGAGGTGTCCAGGAAAGATCTTCAGAGATATGGACACCAAGGAACTTAAAGCTAGTCACATGTTCCACTTTGGCTCCATCAATGTAGATGAGAGGGTGTGTCATCTTTCCTAGACCACCGGTGGTCCATAATCAGCTCCTTGGTCTTCTGGGTGTTGAGTGCCAGATTGTTGTTGGCACACCACCCTACCAGATGCTGAAACTTCCCTGTAGGCTGTCTCGTCATCACCATTGATAAGGCCTACCACCGTGGTGTCATCTGCAAACTTGTTAGAGCCATGTACAGGTATGCAGTCATGGGTGAAGAGGGAGTACAGGATTGGGCTTAGCACATAGCCCTGTGGAACACCAGTGTTTAAAATGAGTTTGGAGGATTTGTGGCTGTCAAGCCTAACAGACTATGGTCTGTTAGTAAGAAAGTCCAAGGTCCAGTTGGAGAGTACGGGGGCTGATGTCAATATCAGTGAGCTTGGAGATCCGTTTGGAAGGGATAACAATATTAAAGGCAGAACTGAAATCAATGAATAGCATTCTGATATATGTGTTGCTTTTATCCAACATATTAACATATAAATAATACTAAAATAACACAGGCCTATTTTGTCCTAAGACGTAATTGTTAATAGTTCCCTCTTTGTCTAACCTTGTTGCATTGTGTTGTGTCCACAGGAGCGTTTAGAAGTTGAAGAACTTCTGAAAAAGCTTTCCAGCCCAGTTGAAGCTGATGTCCAGAAAACAGAAATGGACAGTAACACGAAACCCTCTGAACATGAAGGAACAATTTCTGCTAAAACAACAGAAAAAGAAACCGTAAAGACAAGCACATCTACAGAACAACCCAGCCAAGCTACTGGGGATAACAAAACTAACAGCAAAGTGGTGAAGAAAAGTGAAAAACCAAAAGCCAAAGCATCTAAAAAGAAAACAAAAACCCAAACAAAAGCTAAAGCAGACAAAACAAAAAGCAAAGTGTCAGACAAAACAAAAACCACTACAGCAGAGAAAAAGACATCAAAAACAGCTAATAAGACAAAACCTGTAACGTCAGATGAAAAGAAGAAAACTGGCAAAGCAACTGTTAAAAATACTGCAAAGCCAAAGAGCACAGAACCTAAAGACTCTACAGCTGAAAACCACAAGGATGAGTTATGAGCCTCATGCAGAAAAGATTCTGTGTTTGATTCTGAGTTTTTCTTTTGTTTTTTAATCATTGATAGAGGAATACTGATGGGTTTGTGCTTTTGTACATTTTTTTAAAGACTCATGAATTCGAAACCATATCACAGGAGTGCAGACTTGACAATCAAGTTTACTGTTGTATTTTCTGTTTTACCTGAATTATAATTAAATATTTTCTCGTCTCAGGAACCAAAATACAGCAGTAACATTTCATACTCCTTGAAAGACTATGGCAGCTTTCAGAGATTACATTTGCCACTTTTCATTCCCACAATAGTTACTGAATAAATGCAACATCTTTTTAAATTATAACAGTGCAGTACATTTTTATTGAGTGGTTCAAAATTCACAGGCACGATGCTGAGATGTTGTGGGATGCCATGGTGTTCAAAAGGTTCCTAGGATATTGCTCTTGTCCCTTCTTAAATGTAATTCTTTGTTTTTTCCCCCACCCATTTATTCATCTGCCAGGCAAAAACAATGTAAGACAAGAACTAAAAACACTCCTGTTGTCAGCAAACCACATTGATGTATCATTCATGTCCAAAGCACAAGTAGAGCAGCAAAAACCACTAGCATTTTTTTTCCCCAAAAACAACAATTGTTGGCTTACTCATCCATAAATTCTGTTTTCTACATAGAATATTAAAGTGATTTATCAAACTCAAGTTGAGTTCATCAATATGCACTACCGTAACACTGCACGAGGTGGCAGCATGGAGCTGAGCGTATGTTTCATGTGCTTTCTGAAATGACTCTCCAAGTAGCCTACATTGTTCACAGCAACACAAGCTATAGTTGTTTGAGGCATTCTTATATAAAATAGTCATTCTGAAATGGCACAATGGCTATTTCACAATGGTTATTTCTTTCATCTTTTCCTCTATTTTAAGTATTTTGTTTGTTCTTCTTCATGTCTGGTCCACCCAGTGCAATTTTCTGGACAACTGCATTGCCAATTATATTCAAGGCAGTCTTTAGGAAACCTACAATTACTCCTTAAAGAGTCTTCTCTTCCTTCTGCTTGACAAAGTCATTTACTGCTGCAAATAGATTATTCTGAGTCCTTTTATTCATTGGCTGGGGGAAAAAAAATCTTGGAAGGACATCAGAGTCACTACAGTAATCATGCTGTGGATTTTTCTCTTATTCAAACAACATCAGGCTAGCTATTTAACTGCATAATTATCATATATCATTAAACAAGCCATACATCAAAAAGGCAACTTTTTGTATCTAACAAAGTCTAAATTAAAAACATTACTACTGTAATGTTATATTGAATCCTGCTGCAAGAGATTTGACAAAAATAACCATCAAGATCACTTTAATCAGCTAGCGAATAGCGATATTAGTGATACAGTATTGAATAAAATAATGAAAACTAGGTTGTTATGGCAATAAATAAATAAATATGAATCCAGTGAGTCCATCATCAAAGTCTGGTAGTTTTGAGGTTATCCATGAGGTACTGTTCAAAGCCGACAAAATTACCTTTTAGCATTTTAAATTGACAACCTTTCTCTTTGGGGAAAACATTCAAAATATTGATGAGCTTGACTCATTTCCAAGTATTTGCCTAGAAAAATGCTTTCTAGAATGAGTATCAAATCACGTTAAACTAATGGTGACTAAACTTTCTAGGATATTTTGCACTTGTTTTTTTGCACATATAGCAATGTCTGTTTTACATACTTAGCATTACCATGCTAACCAGTAAATAATATCCACATTTTGTGGTAAGGAATTGGCTAGCAAACCAAACCCCATTGTTTTGGTGGTTTACTCATAATCTTTTGAGGAAATTATAAGCTTTAACACCATGTTCTCTGTGTTATTTGTGGACATCTTGTCATTTGCATCTAAAGTGTTTATATAACGCACAATGCATGACGTTTTACAGCATAAGAGCAACTGTTTCAATTCATTCTGATGTGTTTTGCTCTTACTTATTAGGCCACAGCTTGCAAAGAGGCATTGAATAGTCCACCTGGAGCGTGCTGGCAGTTGAATAGTGGAGGTGAACGTGAAAGGTGACCCGTGGCAGCTGCAATGAGACCCCTCATGTGTCTTTACCTCCCCTTGTTAGCGGCACAAACAGTTCCTCTTGTGTACCTCCCACTGCTGAGGAGTGGGCAGAACTAGCCATGAGCAGAATGCCAGGGACTGATGGGGACAATGACTCTTATAGTCAAAACGTTGCTCAATAGGCCTCGTTACACTGCGGGTGGAAAGAATATTTAAGCACAGTATCAATTACTCCTTGAGTTTTTATATTCTAACATTAACCAAGGGTGTTTCTTTGTAAATACACGGTAAAAATATATATACATATTTTGCTGCGATTAGTTATCACAGCTTAAAATTCAACATTAGAATAAAAAATAACGAGTTGTTTCAGCTTAAAAATGTAAGTGTTTGTGTTACACTTAAAATTATGTTTAGTTACCTTTAGTTTAATTAGTTATTTAAGTTATCTCAAATTCTAAGTTGTAACTAATTGCAGCAGCATTTTTTGCAGAGTAATTTAGAAATTTTGGAATTTGTGAGTAAAAATGGTTTCAACCCCCGCCCAAATATGATATTTAGGCAAAATAAAAAAAAAATCTATTTTTCTTATCACATCTTCATTCTGTTCAAATGTTTACACCTCCAGGCTCTTAATGCATTGTTTTTCCTTCTGGAGCACCAGTGAGCGTTTGTAATAGTTGTGTATGAGTTGTGTATGGATCTCAAAATCATACAGTCATTTTTGGAAAGAGTTCTAATGCGCATAAGATGCTGGAAAACAAAATAATTTGTGTGACCTGAAGGGTTTTTCTGAGGAACCTCTTCAGCACACCTGTAAATGTATCTGTAAATATGTTTATTCTGTTGCAGCCTATACGTGTCTTTAATTTTATTATTATGCATCTTGCTGTTGTATATGTGTCACTGGAAGCTGGATGCAATGTATGCACACGAAATATACACTATTTATTATGCTTTAAGGAAAGAAACTAAAAAGCAAAATACCACTTCAGTTCACCATTGTCAGGGTTCTTCAAGGTGGTCTTGATGGTAGGTTTGTTGTCAGCGACTAAAGACACCAGAGGAAGCCCTGAAAGTGGCAGAAAGCCATTAGCAATGACCGCACACTTCAGACTTCATGCATACATGTTATGAAACATATCTTATTTTACATACTTTATGAGTTGACATGGTTGCGATTGCTGGTGTTTGTTTGATGTTTGTCCACTTGTATCCATTGTCTTTTGTTTGAGCTGATGAGATGTAAAACAAATGCAAAATAATTCAGACTTCCATGTTAATGGCTTTGGAAGCACTTTCTGTAGTGTTGCATGTTTTCTTTTGTCATCTGCACACCCCACACGTGTCCATCTGACCCCTTACATGAGGACACTGACTTGTGTGCATAAGGGCCGGGGTTAATTAGCATCGCTGCTGGTCAGTTCAAACTGTGACGCACATCACTTTCCACTGAAATGCATGATTTATTTATGTAGAGATGTTCACGAAGAAACTATTACATGAAGTTTGTTTGCATTCTGACATGTTTGATGGCTACCCGAGCGCATTTACAGTCCTTTTCTCGGGCGTGTGTCTCCGCTGTATGCCGTCTTTGTGTGGGGCTGCCCGCCGTGTCATACAAAATCTGGGAGACACAGACCACATTGTCTGCTTCAGGGATTGTGGTGTATGTGGCTGGCTATTGTTCGGGCAGAAAAGAAAAGAAAAGCAAAGCCTTAACACTGTGACTGGCATACAATACAGTATTACATATATGCCTTTTCACTCAGAAGTAATCCATGGTCCGTACCAAGCGGTGTGATACATGCTCTGTTGTGTTCATACAAGATCTTTTGTCTTACTCCATTATCAGACTTTTATAATGGCAATCGCCCCTGTGCCTTACGGGACACAGAGGGCCAAATCCACTAAACAGCCTGTTTCTTATTCACTAACAGGGATATGTGGGACTACATATTTTAAGCATCAATTAGTCGTTGGGTTGCCTGAACAATCTGGGCTGCATTTCCCAAAAGCATTGTGAGCCTAAATTGATCGTAGCTCCATTGGTGACAATGGAGCTACGATCAACTTAGGCTCACGATGCTTTTGGGAAATGCAGCTCTGGTCTTTAGGAAAATGTGCATAATTAGGCTGGTAGGACTGGAGGTGTTTTTTTTTTTTTTTAGCTTTTACGAAGGTTAATAATTGTTTTTGTTTATTTAATAAGTTATTTATTTCAGTTGCCAAGGCTTCTCAGTTTCATTTAGCCTAGTTTAAATTTATTTACTAAAATAACTAAACCTGAAATAAAAATGTTTAAAATATTTAGACATATTTAATAATAATAAATTGACAAAACACAACAAATTTACTAAAACTTGAAATAAACTTAAAATGAAAACAGAGAATATAAAAAATAAAACTACTTTAAAACAATAGTATCTCTATGACACCAAGTGCTAACTGATCAGAAATAGCATTTAAATTAAATATATTTTTTTTTACATAAATTAGACTTGTTAATGATTGCACCTTACACACAAAAGTCAGTTTTGTTTTCACATCCTATTTGCTTATACACAATATGAATCAGATGCAAAGAGCACATGCAAATAAACATATTTGATTTCAACGGGCAATAATTTCAGATTCAGTGAAATCACAAGGACCTCCTGTCAATAAAAAAGGTTATTAGTTCAGTGCTGGCGTCTTACATTTTTACAGTAAGGTGAGATATAGGGCACTGCTGTAAATGTCAAAACTAGGTCTCGTGATACGGTAATCTGCTGAGAACTGCTCCTTCCTGTAAAGACAGGAGTAAAAGTGAAAGAAACACGACCAATTCCGAGAAGTCAATGATATGCCCTTTGAAAGAAGTTTCAGTTGAGGCTAAATATGCACCGTTCCTCTTGTGTTCTCTCTGTCCACTGAAGAAACGTTAGATGAAAGTGAGGAGGTTGAAAGTATCCATTAGTGGTTTCCACAGAGACAGCCTCAGCACGTCTCTCACAGGGCATGATTTAGCCGGACGCAGCAGGATGCGTCCTGACGAAATTAATTCCAACTCTATGGCTTGAAAAGGTGGCTGAAAAACAGCAGGCTAACAGGACCTGACATGGAATCAGCCAAAGTTTCCATGAGGCTAGAGCAACAGGACAAATGTTAGACATGAATTTGATTCTTTTCATGATAATCACAACACTTTCCTAATATTTCTGTCAATGTTAATCAATTGCAAGTGAATCTAAACACATTGGCAAGCTTTAAGGAGTTATTTGAGCCAATTCTAACTTTCTCAGATCTTTAACCATATCCTGCTTGACGGTTAAATTTCAGGGAGTTGCTTATATTCATGCAATGAAATAAAACAATTCAAGTTCTGAAAATAAAGCCATCTGAGTAAATAAATGTTGACAGTGTCCATTCATATCAAACTACACGTTCTTCCTCACAATCTGTAGGTTTTCTTTATCAGACTAAGAGTCCAATTAAACACAGAAAGACTGACATTTTAAGGTCAATTTGTAAACTAGACGCAGTTCATGAATCTGACTAGATA